TAATGCTGCTTATTGTGACTCTTAACACTGCTGCGCTTGAACTGGCTTTCCCATCTGCGTTATGTGTTGCTATAAGACTTAAGCATGCTCGTCATATCTAACGTTTCATTTTACTTATTGCATGCAGTGTGTCTCAACCCGTTTCTGTCTGAAGGAAGATGGTGACCGTATATAACATTAGACTCTTCTGCCACACAGGGTCTCTAGTGTACATGAGAACGACCGTCTGTCATCTGTGGCGGCAGAGCTACAGTTTAAATCCCTCAGTCGCCACTCCAGCCCGACAGAAGACAGAGAAGGTACTGATGCAATATTTGTCTTTGTGTAAGAAGTGTCTTTTTTATTCAACATATTCTCTAAGTTTTCTCTTGTATTTCCAGAGCCCTCGTATCCTAAAGCAGACCCCAGCAGTACCGCCCGTCGCAGCTGGGAGCTCCGCAACTTCATCAGCCAGTCAAAAGGTAGAACAAAGAAAAGACATTATGATGATGAGTTCATGTCATGCAAGATGACAGATAAAAGTACAGCTGTGCAAAATAGACTAAAATACACATCTATATTTTTCACAGCTTCTGACAAAGTTCTATATACAGTATTTGTTCTTTATTCATGTGCTGTATTTGCTCTGAAATGGCTTAAAAGGGTGATTCAACCCATGGAAGTCCAATTAACTGTCATTATTGATTCATAAAGTTTAATGTAAGGACAAGTATGTTGTTTATACTACAGTACTGATATTATAATCTAAATGCACCAATACAAGACATAGTAATAAACAAAAATATATACCTAAATATTTACCTACAGTACACACTACTGCTCAGGGGTCAGTAAGATTTTTGGGGTCCATAAGTTTTTTTTTTTTTGGGCAAAAAATTAATTTGATTTAGTAAGGATGCATTAAATTGATCAAAAGTGACAGTAAAGAATTTTACATTAATACATGTATCACGGTTTACACAAAAAGCAGCACAACTGTTTTCAGAATTGATAATAAGAAGAAATGTTCATCAAATCAGCATATTAGAATGATTTCTGAAATATCATATGACATTGAAGACTGGAGCAATGGCTGATAAAAATTCAGCTTTGCCATCACAGGAAGAAATGACATTTTTTCAATATATTAAATAAAAAATTTACAATATATTAAAATATATTTTAAATTGTAATAAAAAAAAAAGTAAAATACTTTTTTAAAAATTATTTTCTTGTTGCAAATATAATGTATATATCAACCACGGTGCTGATTGTCCTGCAGACACTGCAGCACGTCAGAGCCCTATGGAGGCTGTCTGGCGCTCTATACGCATCTTTGATGACAAGCACTATGTGCTCATGAGACAGCGAAACATCATCGGACAGGTGTGCAACACCCCCAAGTCCTACGACAACGTCATGCACGTGGGTCTGCGCAAGGTCACATTTAAATGGCAGAGAGGCAACAAGATAGGTCAGTGGTCAAAAGTATGCTTACATTACATAGCAGAGGCCTTTCTTGTTACATTTTCAGTTTTTCTCTTCGTTGACAGGTGAAGGGCAGTATGGAAAGGTTTACACATGCATCAATGTGGACACTGGTGAACTGATGGCCATGAAGGAGGTATGTGCCTGAGACTGTTATTCATTTAATTAATATATTAATTCATTTATATATATAAATAGATATATATAAACTATAAGAACTTTATTAACTCTAACTGAATTTGCTTCCAGATTCGCTTTCAGCCCAATGACCACAAAACCATAAAGGAAACGGCCGATGAGCTGAAGATCTTTGAAGGAATCAAACATCCCAATCTTGTCCGCTACTTTGGTGTGGAGTTGCACAGGGTAAAAAAGTGTTTGTGTTACGTCAAGGTCTGCTGAAGTCTTCTGTACGTTTATTCCTCATTGTTCCTCGTTGGCTCTTGCAGGAAGAGATGTATATCTTTATGGAGTACTGTGATGAAGGGACCCTGGAGGAAGTGTCTAGACTGGGTCTGCAGGAACACGTCATCCGCCTCTACAGCAAGCAGATCACGACGGCAATCAATGTGCTCCATGAACACGGCATTGTCCACCGTGACATTAAAGGTGTTCATTTATTGCTTCACTTGCACTAAGATTTCCTTTCCTCATTTCCTTTTTTCTTCATCAAAATGATAGATGCCATTCTGGGATACAGATGTACAAAATGACATTTTCATAATTAGCTAGTTAGTGGAATGTCTAGCTAATAATTATTTTGTTGCATCACTATTTATTGTTTACTTCCCAGGAGCCAATATCTTCCTCACGTCGTCGGGCTTGATAAAGCTAGGGGACTTCGGCTGCTCAGTGAAGCTGAAGAACAATGCTCAGACGATGCCTGGAGAGGTGAACAGCACACTGGGAACAGCAGGTGAGAGACTTAATGTTGTAGTTCCCAGGTTTAGACACCAGAGGGCATGTCAAACTGTTTGAATGGTATGGTGAGGTGTCCTAAAGGGACAACTGGCATACCTAAATACTATCTCAAAAAACTAGTTCTTTTTGTTGTAAAACTCTGTGAGGCATGCTGGAGGTCTAGACCTTTATTTTAAGCTGTTTCCAAAGTTTTCTTATCACCAGTGCTGTCAAAAATTAAACACATGAAAACTACATTTATATTTACATTTATTCATTTGGCAGACGCTTTTATCCAAAGTGACTTTTGAGGAATACAACAAACATAGGATGGCAATAAACACGAGAAGTGCCAGATCTCCGTCATTGTTCAAAATAGTAAAAGCTAGGACAGGAAGCGAATAAGGGATACTGAGAGCAAAGAAAAAAGTATTTTTTTTATTTTATCACCAGTTGTATTGATAAACATAAAAAATGTTTAACAAATGGTAGCATTAGTTTGAAATATATATACCTTTTATATATTCAAATATAAAAGGAAATTTAAGTGTTAAATATAGCTTTTAGCTTCAGTGTTATTAACTAAAACTATTAAAAATAGTTTTTAAGTGAATTTAAGCTAAAATAAAATATTAATATTAGATGAAAAACCTAAAGGCAAACAACTAGAAATACCTTGGCAACTAACTGAAATAAAAGTTTAAGTACTACAATTACTAAAACTACAACTGAAATAAAAATAAATTAAAGCTGAATAAACATATTAAAAGTATTAATGTGACAAAAGCACATAAATTGATTACAACTTAAACTAAAATTAAAAGTGAAATTGTACAAATAAAAGCTAATAAAAAATGTTAAATACCATAATAGCATATAAGTAATAAAAACAACACTATTTGGTATCTATAGCATTGTGACGATTATCACATTGTTTTCTTTCTCATTTCTAGCATACATGGCTCCTGAGGTCATCACTAGAGCAAAGGGTGAAGGTCATGGTCGTGCTGCTGATATCTGGAGCCTTGGATGTGTTCTCATAGAAATGGTCACTGGAAAGGTAAAACCTGGTCTATGTGCATGCATTATGCCTGAGTTTGGTCTAATTCTTTATTTACCCATGTGCCAGCTTTACTTCAAACTGGTTTGAAGATAGCGTGCTGTTGTGAAAACATATCCGTACTGCGTTCATTCAACACCAAATCCAAAGGAATTTTCTGGGCTTGTCTACACATGCCTAAACAACCAAAATGGTACTGCTGGATAGGGCTTCCTGAAACATAATTAATCAAATTTCCACCAATTACAACAAAACAATTCGGATATTCACCAGTTTTAAAGTTTATTCGTCTTGTAGTACCATCATTTAGTGACTGTGTTTTTAGTGTGTGAACTGTAAAAAAAATCTACAAACATCATGCTACTGTAAGTAACTCTGTGTGTGTTCCATACTGTTTGCTTAATTCAGAGACCTTGGCACGAATATGAGCATAACTTCCAGATCATGTATAAAGTGGGAATGGGCCACAAACCACCCATTCCTGAAAAGCTGAGCACAGAGGGGAAGGACTTCCTGGCCCACTGCCTGGAGAGTGAACCGAAGCGACGCTGGACCGCCAGCGCTCTGTTGGACCACCCGTTTGTCAAGGTATGAACTCCCTCTCACCCATACAGCTAGTTATTTCCTTCAGCTGATTCATAGGGTCACACATATGATGGAGATCAGGTTTCTCTGACAAATTTCCAATCTGTTACCCAAATTAGATCCAACCAGCATTTGTAATAAATCCACCAATATGCTACACACTTGAAAACACATGAACCAGACCCTGACACAAATAAATTCTCACTTTGAGCACTAAACACCGACAACCAATGACTTATTTTAGTGATGCACTGAAATTTGGCAACTAAAAATATTTGGCCAAAAATGAATTTTGGAAGGCCTAAATCATTGAGAAACTGTGTGGACAGTACGGCTGGGTTGACAATATTGATTCCACAATTACAGTGCATCACTAATGTAATTACAGAGGGGTGAGGTAGACCATCACATGCTGTCACCTGATTGGCTGCTTAAATGAGGCTGATGGAAATGGCACTAACACGTCAATCTCATGTCTTTTCAATTGCAGGTCTGCACAGATGAAGAGTGACGGGGAAAGACGTATATTCTTTTAATGTTTACATAAATGCTAGCACTACTTCACGTGGCATGAGGGAGGACGAAGGTTAAAACAGACGCGCTCTGCTCGATACGAGCCCCTCGAGATGTTAAGAGCGGGGCAAGTCTTACATGTACAGTAACATGAGCAAATGGGATGGAAATGTTTGGACAAGTGCGTTGTGTACATACTGTAAGAATAGGGTTAGGGTTTTTCTGTGTACAAAGCATATTGTAAAGCTGAAGTTTAATAGCCACTTTGTTGGTGATCGAGTCACAGGGAATACATGTTAGGAGACAGTACATTAATTCAAGGGATGTTCTCTGCACAAAGCATCAGAGAATGGGAGATGGAGGGAGTTTGACATTGACTGACTGTATGTACAATTTCAATGAGTGTTCACTGAAGAAAGCATACAAACCTGGGGCTGAAAGTCACAGTAGAGAAGGTTTTAATTTTCTTTTTCTGTTTTGTTAAAACTGTATTTTTGTTTGCCTTGCTGCAGAGCCCACTGTTAACAAGTCATATTTAAGCCTATAAGTAGTTGTGCTGCGTTGGCTCAGCCTCGTGCTGGCCAATGGCGTGCCTTTACCATCTATGTGTACAAGAGCATAATCAACCAATGAGAGGGAAGAGGCCAGTCTGACTCTGCCTTTCTGCTGCTACACTCGGATGGGTGGACAAACATGCTCTTACACAGGCATCAACTGCTGGTTCTCTGCTCCTCCAACAGTGTTTGCAATATTTAAAAAGAATATTAATAAACAGACAGTTTTTTTTAAATGGCCTACTTGTCTATTTAAAAAAAAAAACGATGTAAATCAAAACAGAGAAGCATCTTAAATTATTCAAACAGCTCTTTCATGTGGCGACTTCCTCAAATTTCACTTATGAAGGTGGCTGCACTTGGCTAATGCCAGTTCCCGTTGTGAAAATGCCCTCATGACTGTAAAGTAGCATGATCTTGTTGCCCTGGTGGAAGTCTCAGTTATTGTTTATTTGCATCTCTTTATTCCCGTAGTTCGAACCCTTGTCAATCTCGGTCTGTCCAATCATCCAGCGGATACCAACTGACACTGAAAATAAAAGCAAAAATTTGTCAGTTACAGCGCAACAGCCAGTCACATTAGCATGCTTAATAACTAAACTAGGGCTACAAGCACTCGGATTCATATTATCATTCATTAGATCAGTGGTTCTCATGAAGGGGAGTTGACTGGGTGGGTGAGTGCAGAAGGTTTTCATTATTAAAAGCATGATTATTATTAATAGAGATAAAATTATCTATTTAAACTAAAACTCTAAAAGCACAAAGATGTAAACTCATATAATGTTAACTCTTAAATTATACAATTTATTTTCCCCCCTCAATAACTATTGTTTTTAAGAACATACATACAGATCCTAAAACTTCGAAATCGTACAGTATGTACACAAGGTCTGTCATAATTACAGCAGAAATACTGAAAGTAGCCTATATATTGTGTTGGACAATGGGAGTGTTAAGAGTCAAAAAGGCTGAGAACCACTGCATTCGATCATAATACAAACAGGGTTCCCACGGACATGGAAAACCTAGAAATATCAGGGAATTTTAAACTTTTTAAGCTTGGAAAAGTCATGGAAATTTGTGAATGATAGGACAATATAGATATAGCTATGCTTGGCTATCTTCTACTAGAAATTACTCTATAAATTCATTTTTAAAAATAGTTTTTCACAGTAATCGTAAGTCATTGAAATTCCTTGGTCAACAGGTGTGGGAACCCTGTACTAAGTAAAGGGAAAATGAAAGACTGAAATGAAAGATTTATTTAAACAACATCTAGTAGATGCATGATGTCTTATAGTATATCTGAATCATGTAGTTCAAGGTTTGTTTTGTGTGCATTTAGTGTTTAGATGAAACTTTTACCTCTGAAATGAATCTTTAATCCTATTCTCACATGCTATGGTATTTAAGGGCACTTTCAGTGCATTAAACTGTGTCATTCATTCATGCGCTTATGAATTGACCAGCATGCAGTAAATCCAGATAGAAGTGGTTGATATACTTACAGCTATAGCACCTAATTGGCCTCCTTTATATATTTTTTGAAAAAACAGATTGGGGGAAAATAGCAGCAGTATATAATTCCTTTGTTGCTTGACGACAAAAAAAAGATCGACTAAAAATCATCTGCTGCAATCTTATTATTTTGCTATTTGTTACACCAGCTTATATTATAATCAATAAGAAATAACCACCCCATGCCCTTGTCCTTATCCCAAGTACCTGCTAGACAGAAGACAAATGTACAGACGACAGTGAAGGTGGATTCTGATAGCAGCATTTGGAGCAGTAACATGCAGAGAGGGTAGACCAGCAAACAGACCCAGAAGAGCCAGTTCAGCAGGGCCCAAGGTCGGCGCGGAGGGCTTGTAATGGGACCCGGAAAACGTCCTGTCTGTCTGTAATGCTCTTGGAATTCATCCTGTGTGAGTTGGCACAACAAAATGACTTGATGCCCATGTTTGTCCGATATGGATATGCTAATACCAGCACCAGTGTTGTTCGTTAACTACAATTAAACTATTAAAATGTTTTCATTAACTGAAAATACAGCTGTTTGTTGCCAACTAATTTTCTAATTTAAGTACTAAAACTGAAATAAAAAATAAAGCTTAATAGAAATACTAAAAAAGTCATAAATTGTAAAAAGATCATGTAAAAAAAAAAAAAAAAAAAGCCAATTCAAAATATTAATA